CCCTCCCACTCCCCCTGCTTGTGTTCCTCTCTCGCTGTCTCTCTCTCTGTCAAATAAATAAATAAAAACTCTTTAAAAAAAAAAAGGAAAAGAAAACCGTCATTTGCCAGAATGATCACTGCATACCAGGTGCCGGGGGCTACGATGATTTGTTCCAGCTAAGATCTACATCTGGAACACCAGCTACAACTGGAGTCACCACTGGATTAAACCTGTACATAATCATTTTTCAAGTTTTATCTGACTTCTTTATAGGCCAAATAGGTGAGTTCAACAGGGATGTGATAGGTGTCATCACCCCGACTCTTTCACCCCTGTGTCTTTGATGGTGACATTCATTTCTGCCATTCCCCCAGGAAAGTGGAATTACTTTTGTATGTCTATCATAATAAGGAAGGACTTCTACTTGGCTCTTCCTATCAGAGTAGCCCTCACTCCATAGGTTAGAGAGCCAATTGGGGATTTGCCAGTTGCCAAATATTGTACATTCAAGAACTAGTGAAATAAACACACGGTGAACTCATAGACCTACTGACCCCTTTGTCATTTAAACAAGACAAAACTCCATGTATCACCCAACCATCAAAAGCTCCCCTCCACTTTGACTTTTGGACCACAGTGGCATTTTGGGTCCCTAGAAATGAGTATCAGTTCAGAGTCCATGTATATCAATTCCCAAGAAGTAAGGTCAAATGGCTGTAGGTCCTTGAAGGAATAGTTGGAGGACGATTTAAAGAATATCATTGAGACAGTGTTGCAGAGTTCTTTCTCAAGGGGAGGGATCCCAGTTTCCTCTTCAGTCATGGAGTTCCAGGTCCCTGAGCAGCTTAAGTATGAAAACTTGCTAAGAAAACTTGACTCTCTGTGATGATAACACAGGTCAGGATTTTGGACCCCAGATCTGGATTTTTTTTCCTGTTCTACAAATCCAGTAACATTCTTGTAGGATGCTCATGCATTTTGTTCCTAGAGATGCTATGATCAGTTTGCCATAAACACAGATTATTGTGGGTCAAAATATTCTGGTAATCCTTCATCCCTATTGCCCATTAGTGCTTTCACTTGGCCTCTACTAGTCTGAAATTTGCACATCATCCCCATTAAAATCAGGGAGCCTACCTCACTGGCAAAATCTCTTAACATCATACCTGGCCTATAGAAGACAGCCATCAGAAAGCTTTTCAAGGGCGCTGGTGCTCTCCGTGCTGGGGTATTTGTCAATGCCTTAGTGAAGGGATCAAGCGGTGGGAAATTGGTGTGCAAATCAGTCATGAAAAATTCACTCCAACATCTCTATCTCCCAATGTCTTTGAATTCCTCTACGTTATACCACAGAAACTCTGGTATCTCAGTCTCATTGAATATAGGCCACCGGAAAGCCCAACTTTCAGTCAACCAATCATGTACACCTTTAAAGCCACTCTCAGCTGTACAAATTAACATATTGAATCCAAAATATCTGGGAAGTGCACCTCCATGGAGTTGGGACCCAGCTTTCTGAATAGAAAATGCCACTCAACTGGTGCTGACATCGGAGGCTCTTGGGCCAAGAAGCTCTGGGGAGACTCCATAAAACCCAAAAGGATGGATTCAGAGAACATCCAGGGTTGTGAGCACATGGAGCTTTGGGGAGAGTGGTGTGCTCTGAGAGAGCATGGAAACTCCCTGCCCTTTCCCCAGACCATCTGCCTGTCACTGAGTTACATACATCATTTTCTAATAAACTGGTGATCTAGTAGACACAACCAAAACCCAAAAGCCTCTGGGGAGGAGCCACTGTCTGACTGGTGCTGGTAATTTTAAAAAATTAACATACATTATGTTAGTTTCAAGTGAACAGCATAATGATTTAATATTTATAGATATTGTAAAATAGTCATAATAATTCTACTTACCATCCATCACCATACACAGTTACAGAATTTTTTTTTCTTGTGATGAGAACTTTTAAGATTTACTCTCTTGGCAACTTTCAAATATAAAATACGATGCTGGTATTTCTGAAGGGGCCAGTGAGGCTGGTCTCGGTGTGTTGGGGGGAACCCCCCGGAAACTGGAACTGTTACCGCCAGGATGATGAAATCTCCTGTAGTGACAATGACAATAAGGGCAAGCAAAATAGGACACAGTAATTTCTTTCTCCTTGCTCTTCCCTTGCAGTCTCCCTCCAGTGCCCCTGGTACCAGAGCCTAACATGGAGCCACCTGGCAAAGGAAAAATATACATAGAGTCTCAGCTAAAGCAGAGTATCTAAGGATGGTTTGGAGCTTAATTATCAGCATAATTTTCTTTTCTTTTTTCATACTAAAATAATTTTATTGTTTTAAAGGTCTCTTCCCATGCTGAAATACATTAATGGTTGAAATAATATGCAATCTACTAAATTTTAAATGTAATACACGACATAACTCTAGAAGTTATCTACAAGTGGAAATAATGTATGTATATATATATATGAATTATATTAAACACATCATTAGTTAAATAAATAAGATCTAAACAAAGAAGAGAGAAATCAAAATGATTTTAGAGGGAAAAGCAGAGTCCGATGTTCTTTTGTGGTTGTGGGTGTTCAAGGCCCAGCTGCCGTGAGGCTGCCATGGGCAAACCTGCAGGTGACCCCAGGCCCTGGAGGTCAGCATAGTTTTCGTGATTGACTATAACCTGGTTGTTGAAAAGATGAAATGATACCATGTATAGTAAATACCTAGAATCATGCCTGGTCCATCATAAGTGTTCAATAATCCTTCACATTTGGGGGCATGGCTTAGTTGGTTGAGCTTAGTTGGGTGGCTTAGTTAGCTGAGCTTCTGACTTGTGATTTCAGCTCAGGTGGAGATCTCATGGGTCCTGGGATCAATCCTCAAGTCAGGCTCCGTGCTCAGCTGGAAGTCTGCCTGGGACTCTCTCCTTTTGCCCCTCCCCCTACTGGTGTGCATTCTCTCTCTTTCTCTCTCTCAAATAAATAAATAAATCTAAAAAAAAAATCCTTAACACTTTTTTTCTGATATCAGTTGAGATAAGTACATAGGGTTTTTTCTCTCTCCTTCATTCTGTTGATGTGATTACATTGGGATTACATTGATTGATTTTTGAATGTTGAACCATCCTTGCATTCCAAGAATAAATCCCACTTGGTCATAGCATATAATCCTTTTAATATCCTGTTGAATTTGGTTTGTTAGGCTTTTAAAAATTGTTATTTACCATATAGACAGAGTTTGAGCTTTTGGAGTGAGAAGCTAAATCAAGGTGACCTTGGAAATTTAGAGAATTTCCTGAACTGTCTGCTCTAAAAGTCATTCCAGTTCTGCTCTCATGGGATATTTTCGTTAACGTGATCTCTCTGCTCTGCTCCTTGAGTGTTCCCAGTCATTCTCTTAACTGCAAGTGGATGTAGCTTAAGAAAAATGAGAAACATTTACTGAGTGATTGAAAAGAAGAATTTTGAGAGCCTAGCTTTTTCTAAATGCCAGGGACTGTTTCAGCTGTTAACTCAGGGATGAAGAGCATGAAAAGAATGTCAGGCTAGCCGAGCAGAATTCTGATGATTAAAGAGAAAAGCTGGCTTCCCTGGATCTTTGATTCAGCTCAGTGGGGAAAAGGGCAGACCACTCCAACTGCACCACCACTCCATCCTGGCTGCTCAGGGACACACCTGAGAAGATACCTGAGGGGGTCACCTGCTTGCTTTCCCATCTGGAAATGAAGTTGGAGACTACAGGCCTTATCTTGTAGCAGGGAGAGGCATTTTTGGTGGGGAACAAAGTTTCCTGGTCTCCTAGGAGCACTTGGGTTTAACTTGGAGTAGGGTTTACAAAGATTCCTGATGAGAAAAGCCACTTGGGGCTCTTAGACTTCCTTGGAAATTTTATTTTTGCTGGTCTGAGTAAGGAACTCAGATCTTGCCTTTTAAAAAAGTGGACTTGGTGATTTTTATCATCAGGAAAGTTTGGGAAGCCCTGCCTAGGGCAAGAGGGCAACTGTTTTCCTGGACTTTCTGCTCAATATTGGCAAAGGGAGCTAATATAATATTTAACCACTGAAGAAAGCCATCTGTTTGGATAAGACTTGTGCAGGAAAGGAAAAAAGGGCTATACTTACTATTCTGCAGAGGAAGAAATTCATGGGGCTGCTTTGCAATTCCATAGTTATGAATGACAGATAATGTCACTGAAGACAAGCTTTCTTCTCTAAATTAGCTTGGGTTTGGTTGCAAAACACAGCAGCCTTGAAAATGTAGCTGTTGACTTCACCTTGAAGACCAGGGGCTCTGCTGCCACCATGGAGGGAGGGTCCGAAGCAGGTGTCCCCTAGACGCCAGGTCATACCTGATGCTTATTCAACCTTTGCCAATGATGTGGTGCGTTTCCTTGGCTGTCCTTCCTCACCCACAGCTGGAGCTATTCCCCACATGCTGAAAGCAAAAGGCACACGGGCTGGCCAGAAGACAGCGCCTCAGAGCTCAGTGAGAGGTGTGGGAGGTTAAGTGTCATCCCAGCTCAAGCTCCTGGTGTGGGAAGGACAAACACATAGTCAAGAAATGGGTGTCTGCTTACTTCCCATGAGCTGACTCAGCAGGAAAAGTGGGTGAGGTGTCTGAACATGTAATGGGTACATCAAGGGCCCCCGTTCCACCAGAGGCCCCAGACGTGGCTCCGCCATCTCTCCAGTCCTGGTTTTGGTAGAATGTAAACGGCTTTGGAGCAATGCCTTTAGCATCTAGGAAAGCACCTCCTAGCACATGAGGACAGGCTCAAATACTTTTGAATGAGTGAAAGAATGTGAATGAGAGAGAGCTTGTCACTGAATTGTAAAAGAGAAACCTCCAATTGTTGACAGCGACTAGAAAACTTCAAGCTTCATTTCTCAGACCTTTATTCTTCTAAACAAAGTTCAGGCCTCTGCATGTTATACTCTGTTAACCACAGAGGCCCAAAGTTCTTCCATAACTAACCGGAGCCTATGATTATTCCGCTGGGCTCTTAGGAGCCCTCACACTCTCTTCCCCTCCAGGAAGCAGGGTGATCACAGGCGGACGATGGAGCAAGGCAGCAGCCACTTGGAGGACTCCCCTCTCAACGTGTTTTCCGTCACTCCTTACACACCCAGCACTGCTGACATCCAGGTGTCCGATGATGACAAGGCAGGGGCCACCTTGCTCTTCTCAGGCATCTTCCTGGGACTGGTGGGGATCACGTTCACCGTCATGGGCTGGATCAAATACCAAGGTGTTTCCCACTTTGAATGGACCCAGCTCCTTGGGCCCATCCTGCTGTCAGTGGGGGTGACATTCATCCTGATTGCTGTGTGCAAGTTCAAAATGCTCTCCTGCCAGGTGTGCAAGGAAAGTGAGGAAAGGGTCCTGGATTCGGAGCAGACGGCAGGAGGACAATCATTTGTTTTCACTGGTATCAACCAACCCATCACCTTCCACGGGGCCACTGTGGTGCAATATATCCCTCCTCCTTACGGTGCTCAAGAGCCCTTTGGGATGAACACCACCTACCTGCAGCCAGTGGTGAACCCCTGTGGTCTCATACCACCTGGAGGGGTGGTGAGCACCACGCCAAGCCCTCCGCAGTACTATACCATCTATCCTCCAGAGAACGCTGCATTTGTTGGTGACCAAGACTACCCTTCCTTTGTGGCCGGTGGAAATGACAGGTATGTTGTGTGGCAGGGGGATGCTCCCCTTCCAGCTGTCACAGTCGCGGCCCATGGCTTTGTCTGGTGTGTAAGGAAGGTGTTGGGAGAAGGCAAGCGTCCGTGTGGCCTGTTGCCAAGATGGCGGCGCTGGTTCCGAGAGAGGCGGCGTGGACTCTACCGGGTCTGTGTTTTCTGCTCCCATTTCAGATCCAGCCCTGATGCTGACCAGCTAGAAGAGACACAGCTGGGAGACGAGGACTCCGCCTGCTTCTCTCCTCCCCCCTATGAGGAAATATACTCCCTCCCTCGCTAGACTATGACGCCGAGGGAACAGCATTCAAGTCATTGTTGCTGACAAATGAGGTGTTCAGTGCTGTGACCTTCAGAGGTTAGACAGCAGAGCAGCCCAGGCAGCCTGACAGATACCATTCGAAGGGGCACGGTGGGGGTGGGGCGGGAGGGGAAATGGGAAGGAAAATAGCTCAGGTGGGTAAAAATTAGGCAGGGGTGGGAAATTTCCTTCTGGTACAGCTGGACATCCCCTGCATATGGCTCATGGGCAGGAATTTCACTTGGTCCACAACCCACCCCTTTCCTACTGGAAGGCACTGGTGTCTCAATTTTAACTCCAGCAGCCAAGGGGGAAATCACCGCTGCTGTGGCCCTGGGAGTTTCCATGGCCGTGAGAAGGGGGGTGGGCAGGGAGCAGGGAAGAGAAAATAGGCTCCTCTGGAGATTTCCTAGTACCTGTTCTCCACCCCCTGGAGGGGTTTGCAGATTCCCAAACAACATGTTTGCCATCTGGTGTCCCTTGAGGACTCTGGGTATCTTAAAGGCTGCAAAACATTTTTTTGGTGGAATAAAATAAAATAATGTCTCCTGTTAAAAAAAAAAAAAAGTAGCTGGCTATAAAATAAACTAATAACCGTACAAAATAAATATGATAGGGCAATGATGTCAATAAATCCTTAAGTTATCACTGGGTCATAGTGACTCTCGGCAAGGCCAAAGCTTGGTTTGCCCACCCAGATTGGGATCTGTGTTGGACAGGAGCTACCCGGGCCCAGTGACCAACAGAACATGGGGACTTCTGTAAGCACCTATCTATGAGTCCTGAATTAGACAAAATAGAGCCTCATGTCAATACCTGGAAAATCATGAATCATGGAAATGATCTTTATGGTCAAGACAAGCTCACCTTCTTTATAAAAGAAGTTGGTGCCCTTAATCTTCCGGAATCTGAACTGTATAATAAACAACCACGACAGATCAAAGACTTAAGAAGAGACAGTTACAACTGTCGGGTTTTAAAAGAAAATATTTTCCTTATTTTCCTGCCACTCGAGATAAGGGACACTCATCCCAGAGGAAGACAGGATTTGGCAATTCCTTAAAATTTTGGTACCATGTGTATATAGGAAGTGATTTTAATTAATTTTTATCAAAAGCATCTAGTTTTCCAAGGATATGATTAAAATATGCTTGGTAGATTATTGTGATTTGTGTTTTATCTTAGGAACAGAACATTTTCATAGGAGAATTCATTTTGATGTGTGCTGATAGAAGGGGATGGAAAAATAGGCTTCCGTTTACAGAAGCAATAGTCATCAAATGTTGGATTCCTAGCTGAGGGCCATCAGTTCTGGGGAGGAAGTGTGGTGACAGGGACATAGCCGTGCGCATCACCAGCAGCATACCCACTGGTAAGGACGCCCTGCATGCCTGCCTGCCTGACCCCTTCCCCTGCTCATCCTCACTCACCCCACAGCTTCAGATTCCTGGATTTGGGTTACAATGAGCATCGAGGGAAGCTCAAACTGGAAAAGAATGTTAGGAAAGGGTGTCCACGTGTGGCAGCAGATTTCTCCCGGGGATGCCAGGAGTCCCACATGCAGGGAAGTGGCCTTGGGGAGTCTTTAGCTCCAGGCAGCAGAATGATTCAGCACCAACTGTCCCTGTTCTCAGAGGGAAAAAGGGCCAACACAGAGATAATTGATGCCTCCCAAACTGCATCAGATCTTCAGGAGCTCAAGGTGGGTGGCTGGCCTACAACAGTTGGGAGTCAAGGAGGTGGGATGGGAATGTGTTCATTCATTCAACATTTATTGAGTATCTCCTCTGTGGCCGGACATGGGCCATCAAGTGGGGATATAACAGTGAAACACTCAACAAACGCCCTCACAGAGCTTCTAGTCGGGGTGTGTGTGTATGTGTGTGTGTGTGTGTGTGTGAGAGAGAGAGAGAGAGAGAGAGAGACAGACAGACAGACAGATCTGACCACTCTCTGACATCCATGAGGGGTCCTGTAGCTTCAAGAGGGATTTGGACTGGTCAGGAGGGTCATGGGGGCTTGCTTGAGGAAGTGAAGTGAAGGCCCTTGACTTGCATAACCCCAGGGAGCACTGTTCCTACTGGGTCACCATGCGACTGGTGTCTCTTGACCTCTGAGGACTGTGCTGGGAGCTGAAGGAACAGTAGCTGATACCCAGTCAAAGAGAAGGAGGGAGATGGCTGGCAACCCCTCCGAGCATCAGGGAGTGCCTTGCAGGCTGTGTAAACTGTACCGCCCTGCTGCCACCGTGCTCAAACAGAGCCCCCTTCTGCTACCTGAGAATCCCATCCCCTTGCTCTCTGGCTTCTAGACACCATGCTCTCCATCTTTATTTGGGGGTGGCAGGCACCAGCATGATGGGAAGCCCACTGCATGGCTTTTTGATTCCAACACCAGGTCTTTTCTTGGTCTCTCTGACCAGCAAGGACATATTCCTGGCCGAGTTTCCAGTTTGTCAACCAGAAATCTGCCTTTTATCATTCTTTCTCACGGTATCTTATCAGGGATGAATGGAGGACTGATCTGGAGAGAGTGAATTAGAGTCTGTCTGTCCTGGTCAGGCTATGCTATCCACCCTGAGATTATCAGTGGGGGAAGCGGCCCCGGCTTCAGACACGTGCTAAAAGGTTCAGTTCCCTGGGCCAGAACCTGAGGGGCCAGGTCAGCCTTGTCAAACTTTTAGTCTGTGTCTGGAGAACAACTGGAAAGCCACTGAACGGCCTTAATGAGGAGGGAGCTATGATCTGATTGTGAACAGTTACTGGTTCAGGCAAGATCTAGAGTCACATAGGGGGTAATAAGGACCTCGCAGGCAAAGCTCAGACCTAAGTGACCACAGCACCAGCTCCTCCACCCCCAGCCTTCAGTGGGGCATTGTGTGTGGGCATGTACTGGCCATCTATATAGAATTCAAATGAAAGCTAAAAGGTCTTGTTAATTAACCAAAGGAGACAGGCTTCTTAAGAATGTAATGTTGTCTGGAAAGATCTCCCAGGAGCCGACTGGGGACGGGCCTTTTGGCTGGAGAGATGGATGACAGCTGACCATCTTGACAGGGCAGGACAGGGATTATCCAGGCCTGTGACCCGCCACCAAGGGGAAGACATTTTCACAAAGCTCTTAGGACGTCTTCTTTCTGCCGTTGGGCCAACAGAGGGACGGATCTCCTGTGCAGTGTGGGTCTGCGTTCACTCCCTCCTGCAGAACTCTGGGAGGTGTCTTGCTGAGGTGGCACTCCCTGGAGACCGAGGTCCTTCTCCCTTTGCTCCACTGCGCCAGGCACGAGTCTAAGCTTCAATTGCACTCAGTGGCCCTCGACAGCAAAGTCAGCCCTTTCAATGCTCTCCCCACTTATTTGGCAGAGGGTGGGGGTACAGCATAAAAATAAAGCCTCTTGTTTGTGAAGAGCTGGCTGTGGGTGTCTGTTTTCAGCTTCTGACCTCTGGGGCGCCTCATTGGCCTTGCTGACTGTTGGATCCCTGGAGCAGGGCCGGCTGAAGCCCCATGCCCCCTCCCCAGGATGGCTGGTGTTGCACCCCCAAACAGAAGCTCCTCATAGGAACCGAGAAGTAGACTTCTTACCAACAAAGAGAGCTTCCTGCCTGGTTCTCAGTAGTGTCCCTACCTGTCAAGGTCACCAGGGCACTGTCTGCAGACCGCAACTCACACCACTCAGCCTCATACAGACCCCTCCACACAACCAGCACCCGGCTCCTGTTGAACAACAAATGTGAAATAAAGAAATTATCTATCAAATAGATAATTCAGAACCACTCTAGTGCAACTTAGCTGTTCTGGTGTTTTCTACATTATGCAAAATTTCAAACAAATACAAGAGTAGAGAGAACAGTATATCAAACTTTGTGTGGCCCTCACCAACCTCAACTCACGACCAATCCTGTTTCATTTACACCCCCACCCACAATCCCCCAACTGGATTTTTATTTTTTTTTTCCAGGGTTTTTCATCTTTTTACTGTTTTAAAGATTTCTTTTTTCTTTTTTTAAATGGAGGTGTAATTGATATACAACATTTTGTTAGTTTCAGGTGTACCATATAATGATTTGATATTTGTATCACCCAACTGGACTTTTAAAAAGCAAATCATGTCATCCTAAAATATTTCATTGTGTATCTTTAAAAGGTAAAGACTCAAAAAAAATCACACCATTAGTATGTCTAAAAACTTTATACTTACTTAATGTCATCAAATAGTCCGTGTTCAACTTTCCCCAGTTTTCTCTATTTTATTGTTACCTCTTCATTTTGCTTGAATCAGGATCCAAATGATATTAGCTTTTTGCTAAATGCATCCTAAATTTCTAGTTATATTATACTACATTCTGGGAGGCAGAGAGTTGGCAAATTATTCACGGTAGCAGATTCATGTTTATTAAATTTCACTTTCCAAGCAAAAATGTTTTTCAAGATTTTTCACTTTGTATCTCCTTCTCTGTCAGTTCCCTGGAATTAGAAACTTATTTTTTCTGATTTTAGCACATTACTAGAGATTTTCCTAAACACAGGCCTAGAAGAAATATATACATGAAAACAAAAGGAGATCTTTAAGTGAATGTTTAGTTGAGAAATATCTGCTGCAGAATAGTTTCAAGAGTATCTGAAAACTCTGACGACCTTTAGCATTTTTGACTTGGTAGGAAAAAAAGGTTCTTTCCTCTAGAAATCATAAAAACTCCTTTGAGCATTTCAGAAGTAGGAACCAGAGTCTCCTCTAAGAATTAATAGGCAGGGGCGCCTGGGTGGCTCAGTTGGTTAAGCCTCCAACTCTTGATTTCAGCTCAGCTCATGAGCGCAGGGTCCTGGGATGGAGCCCCACGTTGGGCTCCACTCTCAGCGGGGAGTCTGCTTGAGATTCTCTCTCTCTCTCCCTCTGCCGCTCCTCTGGCTCGCCCTCTCTCTCTCTCTAAAACAAATAAATTTTAAAATAAATAAGTAAGTAAATGATGCGCTAAGCCTCTTGC